CCATACCTGCCTGGCAAGTGCAAGGTCCTGAGATCGATCCCTGGTACCGCCAAAAAAATAAAAATAAAAAAATAAAATTTAAGGCAAGAATCAAAGTTCTTTACTCCAGAAGGGGAAACCTGGGTATTGTTAAGGTGCTGACTCAATTGCTGGAGTCTCCCCAGGGCTGGAGGGGAGGTAGGAGGTAGGGGAGTCCCTTGTAGGCCAAGCTGCCCTTCCCCTGCATTTAACCAGGGTTGCTCTGCCTGGCAAAGACTCCTTTCCTTCCTGAGGTATCGAGTGATAAGGAGGTCGTGGCTTTGAGATAGAATGTAACTCGAAGTTCTGCAGGGAGCTTTCTTCTTCACCAGTCAACGTGAGGAGTGGAAAGTGTGGGCAATACAGTGGGGCAGGAACATTTGTTTCCAGGGCGCGTGCTGTTTGCTCTGACTTCACTTCAGGAGTGAGGACGGGCCGTCCCTCGAGGGGCTGCAGCTCTGGGCAGCGGGCAGCCAGCAGGGCCCCGGGCGGGCAGTGGGCGGTTCTCTGCTCCCGTATAAACAGGACTATGTCTCACACCCTCAGATCAGACAGCAGATGGAGGAACAGGTGGCGCAGAAGTCCTCTGAACTGGAGCAGTACCTGCAGCGAGTGCGGGAGCTGGAAGACATGTACCTGAGGCTGCAGGAGGCCCTGGAGGACGAGCGCCAGGCCCGGCAGGACGAAGAGACCGTGCGCAAGCTGCAGGCCAGGTGCCCGAGCAGTTTGTACACTCTGTTTCACGTTCTGCCCTGGGCTGATGCTTTCTTTCAGGGACCGGCACTCGGGAGAAGGAGGAGGGTCACAGCCCTGGTGGTGGCTGAGTGCTGGAGAGACCATAGACGCTGCTGGCTTGGTGTCTCTCTCACCTGGGGCAGTGCGTAACTGGGATCCTGCAGCCCCAGGCTGTGGGCTGGTACCTGGTCAGTGCCCATCGGGAACAGGGCTGCATGGCAGTGGGTGAGCGCAGGCAGGCAAGCTACGCCATACCTGTATCACAGCTGCCATCGCGCAAATCACTGCTTGGCCCCACCTCTGTCCAAGCAGGGGCTCTAGAGCCTCAGGAACAGGCACCCCACCATGAACTGTGTGTGCGAGGTATCTAGGTTGCCAGCTCTTATGAGAGGCTCGTCCTCCGACCACCCTGCAAAGATCCCCCTCAGTGCTGTCCATGGGAAGGCTGTCTTCTATGACACCAGTCCCTGGAGTCAAAAAGGTTGAGGACCAGTGTTGTAGAAGGTATACCAGGATCAGTTCTGTTGAGAACTTGACTTCTTCACCCTGGACCAGATGAGAGGCCCTTAGTCCTTAGTGTGTTGGGATGAGCTTCAGGCTGGAGGGGCAGACGGCTGGGGGTATGAGGAGATGCTCTTGCTTCGCCTCCCCTCCTGTCCTCTCCCTTCCTGTGCTCCTGTCATGACCACCTTCCCTGTGGGCAGTTAGTACATGTGCACAACACATTTTAATTCTTTTGTTGTGCTCCCCACCCCTCTCTCTTTTTTTTCCTGTCTTTTTGAAACAGGCTGTCACTGATTTTCCTGCCTCAGCCTCCTGAGTTACAGGCATGTGCCATCACTTCTAGCTTCTCCCTTCGTCTCTTGATCCGGTTTTTGTGCCAGTACTACCATGCTGTTTTTTGCTTGCTTATCACTGTAGCTTTGCAGGATAGAACTTCCGATCTGACTTTGGTGCCTCCTGCTTTGCTCTTGTTACCCAGGATTGTTTTTGGTATTCTGGGCCACCTCTGCTTCCATGTGATTGGAATTGCATTAAATCTGCATATCAGTTTTGGAAGTGTGGCCATTTTGACTACATTGATTCAGCCTGTGCAGGAACAGGGATATTGTCTTACTTTTTTTGTTGCTGAGACAAGATACCCAACACCCAAGTTAAAGAAGGAGGAAAGGTTTATTTGGCTCACAGTTCATGGAGCTTTTAGTCTGTAGTGAGCTGGCTCCAAGATCAGGTGGCAGAGCAGAAGGGCGTCGCAGAGGAGAAACAGCTCATGACAGCAGGGCAGGCAGCAAAGCAGCGCAGCAGCAGGTCTGCCTTTATGTCTCACCCAGGCTCCCCACCCTTAGGATGGTTCTTCCCACACCATCCCAGGGTGGAGCATCATTTTTTACTTTATTTTATGTATTTATTACAGGGTCTACAGGGTCTCACTGCGTAGATTGACTCATAGTGATTCTCCTGTTTTCAGTCTCCCAAGTGCTGGGATTATAGGAGCATACCACCACACCCAGTCTCAATCACTGTCTTAGCTCGCCCCACAGGTGGGGCTGGCATGGCAGATGGGGGTCAAATCCCAGCTGGCAGGTGGGGATCAGACCCCAGCCGGCCTCTGCACTCTGCCCAAGCAGATGCTTTAGTCTGCTGAGCTATCTAACTGGATCCTTAACCCTAGCATCACACCCTTGGTCCAAGGGCCACACACCCTGGATCAAGCTGCCTCCAAAAAGCACCACCTATGGCAGCATGAGGCTTTGGGGGACAGTTAGATACAAGCCATAGCAGATACCTTCCCGTTTTTGTGTTTTTTTTTTTTTTTTTCTTGTGGTACTGGGGATTGAACTTGGGACCCTGTGCTTGCCAGGCAAGCACTTATTCTACTGAGCTGTCTCCCTGGCCCTCTGTGGTTGTCTTTGATCTCCTTTTTCAATACCTAAGTTTTCATGGTAGAGTTCTTTCACTTCCTTGGTTAGGTTAATTCCTAAATGTTTAATTTTTCTTGGTGCTGTTATGAATGATATTTTTCCCTAATTTCTTCTTTGGTGAGTTAGTTCATCATTGGCATACAGGAATGTGATTGATTTCTGTGTGTTGATTTTGAATTCCACTGTGTTGCTCAGTTTAGTTATTTAATGCTAGTTCCCTATAGAGGAAATGCTTTCAGTTTTTCTCCATTTAATATGATGTTGAAAAAAAAAATACGATGTTGATGGGGCCAGGGAGATAGCTCAGTAGAATAAGTGCTTGCCTGGTAAGCGCAAGGCCTGAGTTCAATCCCCAGTTCCAGGGGATATATATATCTCCTTGACAGTGAGTTTGTCATAAATGGCTTTCATCAGATTGAGATAAGATGCTTCTCCTTGGTGGGTTTTTTTTATGTTTTTAAATTTTATTTTTTATTTTCTTTTTGAGACAGGGTCTTACATTGCATATCAGGCTGGCCTTGTGCTCACTTTTGTAGCCCCCAGGCTGGCCTCAAACTCACAGCAAGTGTCCTGTCTCAACCTTTGCCTCATCAGTGCTGGGATTACAGGCATGTGCCACCATGCCCAGTTCACAAATGGATGTTGATTTTGTCAGTGGCCTTTTCTGTATCTGTGCAGTGATCATGTGATTTTTGTCTGTGCTTCTGTTTCTATAATGTGTTACTTATTTTGATTGGCATGTGATGAACCATCCTTGCATCTTGGACGAAGCCTGCTGGGTCATGCTGCATGATCATTTCATGATTCGTTGCATTCTATTTGCCAGACTTTGAGGATTTTTTGCTTCTATATTCATTAAAGAGATTGGCCTGTGATTCTCTTTTGCTTGGCTCTGTCTCTGGTATTAGGATCAGGGTAATGCTAACATCAAGGCTAACTTTGGGGCTGCCCTTTCGGTTTCATTGAAGAGTTTGAGGAATACTAGTGTTAGCAGTGGATCCTTTGGGACCTTGGCATTTCTTTCTTTCTTTCCCCCTTTTTTCTTTTCTTTCTTTCTTTCTTTCTTTCTTTCTTTCTTTCTTTCTTTCTTTCTTTCTTTCTTTCTTTCTTTCTTTCTTTCTTTCTTTCTTTCTTTGCATTTCTTGGTAGCTTTTTTATTAGTGCTTTAATTTTTTTTTGTTTTATTTATTTATTTCGTTATTTTGTGTATGTGTGGCCAGCTCAGCCCACCAGGGGGCGGGGCTGGCTGGCATGTGGTGCTGGGGGATTGAACCGTGGTCCCTGTGCTTTCGCTTAGCTTGTTCTAAGTAGGTGCTTTAGACCACTGAGCCATCTCACCAGCCCCTAGTGCTTTAATTTTTATTGCCTGTTACTGGATTCAGAGTTTTTCTATCTTCTGTGTTCAGTTTTGGTAATTTGTATGTCTGTAGGAATGTACTCCTTTCTTCTGAATTCTGCAGTGTATTAGTTACTAGTGGTGTTCTGGATTGCGACAGTGTCTTTTTCATTTCCCGTTTCATTCATTTGGGTCTGTACTTTCTTAGTAAGATTGGCTGGGGTTTTTACTTTTCTTTCAAAGAACCAGCACTTCCGTTCATTATTTCTGTGTATTATTTTTTAGTATCAATTTCATTGACTTCTGCTCTGAGCTTTGTAATTTCTTTCCTTGGACTACTTTGGCATTGGGTTGTTCTTCTCTAGGATGTTAAGGTGCATCATTAAGTTATTTATTGGGGCTCATTCTGTTTTTCCGACATTGGTGTTCACAGCTCTAAACTTCCATTGCTGGCATTGTGTCAGAGAAGTTTTGAGTATGCTGTTTCTATTTGGTCATTGAGGAACAGGAGCATTCCTTCAGTAATTACTTAAAACTGTAGTTTGTTTTCTGTTTTGTTTGATCTTTTTGTCTTTTTGAGACAGTCTTGCTCCACAGTTCATGTTGGCCTTGAGCTCACTTTGTAGCCCAGGCTGCTCTTGAACCCACAGTGATCCTCCTGCTTCAGTTCCTGAGTGCTGGGATTACAGGCGTGCACTGCCACAACTAGCTGGTATTCATTCAGAAATGGGTTAGCTTTTGGAATTTGAAATGGACAAGTTTGCCCCATCTAGTGGTCATTTTAAGTGCAGCAAGTTCTTTTTCCCAAAGTGCCCAGAGGCCTGGCCTGGCTCTGAGAGCCACTGGGTCAGACTGGCAGAGGGTACCTGCTCCCTGCTGCTTGGGGCAGGCTTAGCAGAAGCGAGAGAAGTCAGCTCAGAGTTGGGCTCTGTAGCAGGGAGGGTAAACCAGGCTCAGGTTAGTGTAAAGGGCCTGCAGGGAAATCTCCGCCCTCTCCTAAAGCAGCAGTGGGTCTTGGAGTCCTCGTACCTCGTAATGCACAGTCCTTTTGCTGTCATTGACAGAGGTTTCTCCAGAGACAGACTTTGCAGTAGTTGTTTAAATACAAGAAATTTGTCTAGAGTCATCTGGTCTGGCAGTCTTTTTCATTAAAATTTCATTTATGTAATTTTTCTTTTTTTTTTTTTTTTAATTTTTTTTATTTTATTTTATGTGTGTGTGTGTGTGTGTGACCAGCTCAGCCCACCAGGGGGCAGGGCTGGCTGGCATGTGGTGCTGGGGGATAGAACCGCGGTCCCTGTGCTTTGCTAAGCTTGTTCTAAGTAGGTGCTTTAGACCACTGAGCCATCTCACCAGCCCCTCATTTATGTAATTTTTCTATGCCTAGTACATAGTGGATGTGTAAGGAATGTCTTCTGAGTGACTGGGTGTATCCCGGTTCAGCCTGGTGCATCCCGCGGTCTCTGCCCTCTGATGAGACACAGCTCATGTACTGAGGGGCGCTGGACTTCCGTAGCGGGTGTGGGTACTTGGGTCCTGGTGTTTTCTGGCCATGTAACTTTACAAAGGCATTTTACTACTTTGGGCCTCTGTTCCTTATCTGTGAAATGAAGGTCACTGCCAGCTTCGCAGGGCTGTGCAGGTGAGGTGGCATGGGCGCGATTCTTTGAGCACTGGAGGGGCTCCGGTCGTTGAGGAGTGCTGCTTTGTTTCTTCATCTCCTTTGCATAGAATTTTGAGATACAGCAAGCATTCAAGAAGACATCGACAGACTAGGATGGTAGCTTTAGACCATGAAGACAGTGTAAAATATCCAGAGAACAACAGATGTGTCCAGGAGACACAGCTTCGTAGCAGTTCATCTGATTTTTTGTTTGTTTGTTTGGCTTTCATTTTTGGTGCCGGGAATCAAACTCACAACCTTGCACGTGCCAGGCAGGTGCTGTGCCGCTGAGCTGTCTCCCCAGCCCCATAGCAATTCATTCGCAAAGGTTCCGGGGTTCACTGCCGTGAGATGTGGTTGCCAAAGCCCTCACAGCTTTAATGAAGGTGCCATCTCCAGAGCAAACAGAGCCCTAGTCCTGCTGTGGCCATCTGAGCTGTTACTCACCCTTGCTTCCAGGTAGCTGTGTAAGTAGTTTACACGTGCTGTCCCATTTCATACAGACCCCTGGTCGTGGAGAGAGGGTCTGTCTTTTTTTTTTTTTTTAATAGGTCTTTTTTAAAAAACTCATTTACATATTTTATTTGGAAGTGTTTACATCAATACAGTGAAACTAAAGTTTAGAGAATAGATGTCATTAGTTTAGATATCATCAGTTTATTATAAAAGAGACATGGAAGGACTGGGGAGATAGCTCAGTAGGATAAGCGCTTGCCTGTCAAGCTCAAGGGTCTGAGTTCAGTCCCTGGTTCTACCAATAAATAAATAAATAAATAAATAAATAAAATAAAAGGAGACATGGAAATTATGTACATGATGAAAGATGGCAGAACCTCAGTGGAATGGGCAGCAGTGTATGATGCCATTTCAACAGTGATTTACTTCACTCTACATATTTTCCAAGAATGTCACCATCTCTAAACAAGAAGTAATCCTTGTCGTCTAGAACTACTTTGGTGCCTCCATATTCTGGAAGAACTTCATTTCCCACTTTCACACTAAATGGTGGGATCTCTCCACCCTTTCCCTTAGAGCCGGACCCCACAGCTACCACAGCTCCCTGCAGCACTTTGCCTTGAGATTTTTCTGGAAGCATAATGCCTCCTTTGATGACAGTTTCGGCTCCGCTCCTTTCAACCAACATGCGGTCAAACAGCAGGAGAAACTTCGAAATGCCTGTTCTGCCATGGCTCCTACCCCACAGCTCACACCACTCCCACGCCCATACCGCAAAGAGAAACCCACTCTTCAGCCCCTGGATGTGTGAAAGTTAAATAGGTCTTATTATGCTATCCAGGCTGGCTTTGAGCTCTTGGACTCAAGCAGCCCTCCTGCCTCTGCCTCCCAAGTAACTGAGGAGTCTGCCACTATGCACTTACTCTTTTTTTGTATAAATAAGTGAGGAGGGCTGGTGAGACGGCTCAGTGGTCTAAAGCACCTACTTAGAACAAGCTTAGCAAAGCACAGGGACCGCGGTTCAATCCCCCAGCACCACATGCCCGCCAGCCCCGCCCCCTGGTGGGCTGAGCTGGCCACACACACACACACACACACACACAAATAAATAAAAGAACATTTAAAAAAATAATAAAAATTTTAAAAAAAAAAGTGAGGAAGGTGAGGAACAGAGGATGAGCCACTGAGGTCATCAGTCAGGTTTGTTCACAGACCACAGAAGCCACCTTGGATTACCTAAAGCAATAAGACAGCTTACTGGAAATTCTTAAAATAGCTCCCCGGTTCCACAGAGTCTGATGGCGGGCCCTGGACATGAATCGGGAGGGCAAGCAGCCCAGCCTGTAGCCCTGGCCAGGCTCTGGGGGATCCATCAGGCCTGGCTATCACTGGGTGTTGCTACCAGCAGCAAGATCCACTCTCCACTGCCTGTAAAGCTTTGTGTCAGTCACTCTGGAGTCACAGGTCCTCTACTCAGCGGGGCTCAGCTTGTTCCGCCACTGTGCCCTGGCTGCCAAGGGACACAAGTCTGCCCATGGGCAGGGCTGCCCACCAGTGCCCCTGCTGTGGTGTAGTCCTGGGACATGAAGGACTCAGAGGCTGGGCTGCTTCCTGCTTTCCATAACTTTTCCACCAGAGAGAAAAGTGAGCCCTTCCTGCCTTGTTCACGGTGGTGTCCTGTGTCATTTGGGGTCTGTTGGCAGTTGGGGGTCTGGCTCTCAGCCTTTTCTGCTGTTTTCCTTTTCCTGCAGGTCCTGGCAGCTGACCTGCCCTGGACTTGGCTTCCGGGCTCGTGCATCGATCTGTGTCCTTGGCAGGGCTGGCCTGCTCCCCTGGGCGGGCCGGTGGGGTGTGTTGATCTACACAGTCGCATGGTTGGATAAGCAGCCAGTTAGTGAAGATAACGGGCAGACTGGGTTGAGACCGGTTCTCACCTGGGCGCCCTACGCAAACCCTGAGGGTTTCCATTGCCTCATCGCCGACGTGCAATAACCCGAGCGGGCTCGCTGGGGGATTAGCAGTAATAGAGTTCAAGTGCCTGGCACCTAGCAATTGCTCAGTAAATAATCTGTGTTCCCCATTGTGTCAGCTTTTTCTCCCTTTGTCTTCATTACCTTGTCAGCGTTTTCCTTGGTAACAGGTCTTTTCTGGGTGAAGAAGTGTTTTAATATTGTAGCAACCAGACAAAGGTCGAGACTTGGTGCCCCCACCGGCAGGGGAATGAGCTAGCGTAGGTCACTTAACCTCTGAGTCTCAGCGTCCCTGTCTCTGAAGTGTGAAGACTGATGGCACCTCAGTTTCCTGAGGAGCCTCATGGAGAAAGCACCCTTCACTAGCTCAGTTCCTGGCACACATTCAGGTTGGCGGAAATACTTTCTCCCTCCCCCTTCCCTCACTCCTCAAAACAGGGTGGAACTTAGGAGAAGGTGCAGGACACCTGGGCCCTGTAGCAACTTGCAGTGAGTCTCTGGCCCCCCACTTCCTCCATTTAAAGTGGGAGACATCAGGTGACAGTGAGTGCTCTTCCAAAATGTGTCCCTTATCTGCCTGGGCAGGCTCTGACCCTGAGTGTCTGCCACACTGCAGGTTACTGGAGGAGGAATCTTCCAAGAGGGCAGAGCTGGAGAAGTGGCACCTGGAGCAGCAGCAGGCCATCGCCACCACAGAGGCAGAGAAGCAGGAGCTGGAACACCAGCGCATGGAGAAGGAGCGTGCACTGCAGGAGGCCATGGCGCAGCTGGCGCAGCTGGAGCTCGAGCGGAAGCAGGCGCTGGAGCAGTATGAGGTGGGCAGCCTGTGCCCCCATGGATTCACCCTTAGACACCACGTACCCCAGAACTGGCACCTGACTGCCAGCAGGAAGCTGTTTGAAAGGAGACAGGAGATTTTTACAGGAGTGAGGTGCATGGAGTTGGACCCAGATGGCCTTGGAGGGCCGGGTGGGAGGGAAGTGGCTGAGCTCCTGGGCCTGAAGCTGTCCCTGGCAAGCTGCCCCCTGCTTACTGGCAGATGCTGTCCCCAAGGAGGTGCCATGGAAGCCCATGGGGTGATCACCGTGAGCCCTAAGTGGCAGCTGGAGAGAATCCCTTCCTGGTTGTGCTTTGCAGCACCTGCCACTGACAAAGCTTGCTTGGTGCCAGCCAGTGAGGGGGAGTAACTCTAGGGACACAGCTTGGTGGGTGGTAGATTTGGAGCTGGGAGGCAGGAAACTATAACTGGCACACAGCCAGTTATATAGTTCATGGTCGGCAGCCCTGAACATGGCAGAAGGCCAGGCTTTGGAACCAGGAGTTCAGTCCTGGCTCTGCTGCTCACTCCTATGTGGCCTCAGGGAGGTCTTAAGCTCTGTAAATGCCAGTTTCCTCTGCTGTACAGTGGAACAGTAAGTGAGCAAGCATACAGTAAATGCCCGCCTTGTTACTCGGTTCTTAAAGTACCTGTGGGCCTGCGAAGTCCAAAGTCCACTTTCATTCCAGGGAGTCAAGAGGAAGCTGGAGATGGCAACTAACCTGACAAAGAGCTGGAAGGACAAAGTGGCCCATCATGAAGGATTAATTCGATTGATAGAACCAGGTAATTGATTCTGTGGAGCAATCATGTTTATTTTTAAAATTTATTTTTGCTGTGTGCACTGAATCGGAGTTAAAAACAAACCAACAAACCACCTTTGTAAGCCCACATGTGCAAGACCCAGCCTGACAGGTTAACTTCCCCGTGACTCTGGTCCTCCATCCCTGAGCCCCTGGGTGTACTTTTTCTGACTTCTGCCCAGTGCTCCTGAGAGGGATGCAGAGAGAAGCAGCTGGCCTGTTGTGAGCCTTGGTGGCCACAGGAAGCCAGGCTCCTGAGTTCAGGGCCTCTCTGTCTCATAGGTTCCAAGAACCCTCACCTCATCACTAACTGGGGGCCTGCAGCCTTCACCCAGGCAGAGCTGGAGGAGAGAGAGAAGAACTGGAAAGGGAAGAAGACCACGGAGTGACCGCCGGGCGATGCCCCTCTGCCATGTAGATACGAGTGTGGCCCCAGCGCTTCCAGCTGTAGATGAGGGAACCGGCTTTGCTGCTTGGACCTCTGCTCCCCTGCGGCCTCTCCTGGGACCCAGCCCCTGAGGAGGCCTTGTATTCCTGCCCGCTCGCCAGCTTCCCCCAAAACAGTCGGTGTTGTCAGGTGCTTCCTTTACTCTTTCTCCGACACTTTGGGCTTCTGAAAGTTCCACAGAGCTTAGCTTCTCTTCGGAATGAGGCCTGGAACACAGGCGGTCCCGTCACGTGCAGAGCTGTGGCCTGGGTGTCCTGGTTCCTGGCTGCGCCTTTCTTCCTCTGAGTGCCTGTTTCAGGGAGACAGACCAGCCAGTCTGCCTGAGACTCGTGGGGCGTCGCGGCCGCGCTGGACCTGCCTTCCCTGCTCACCCTCCCAGAGCGTGGCCTCTGCGCGTAGCTCTTGCCCCAGCCGCGGGGCGCTTGGCGTGCGTGGTTCCTGTTTCCTTCCGCTCCCCTTGAAGAAGACATTCCTGTGGCCCCCTCTGTCAGTGAGAACAGGCTACCGGCCCTGTGCCAGGCAGCGAGAGGATCACGTTCAGTAAAGGGAAGAAGCCAGTTTGAAATAAAAGTTATTTGGATAATTTCTAAAGCAGATTATATGCTCCGGGGCAGCGGGAAGCTGCAGTTAGGTGTAAATGTCAAGACACGCTGACGCCCATTCCCCGCCATGGAGCTAGCTCATCAGTGGGGCAGTTTTGCTGCTTTCCCGTGGGTGCCAGGGAGGACATGCTCAGTGGAAAATAAGTGTCACAGGGAAAGCGATCAGAGTTTCTGTGCATCTGATTAGAAAGAAATATTGGGAAAGATCTCATATCTATCTTTGGGTTGAAGTAATATTTATGAAATTAAGCCTTCCAGTATTAGTAATTTATAAGCAGCAGTAACTTCATGGACAGCGACGCATAAAGTTGTACAGAAATAGGGGGCGATTCCATGCTTACACAAAAGGCAGAGTTCAGCAGACAGGCGCCAGTCCTGTCTGCAAGCACTGCGCCCCGAGCGCCCCTGCCCTCGCTCACAGGAGCGCAGTAAGGACGCTCTTCCCGTGGGGCTCCGCGGCTCCGCAGTCTGGTGTTTTGAGATTTCAGGGTAGGTATTTATTTACACAGGAGGAAACTGGAATGTAATTCCATAAATCTTCACCTTTATGACTGGAAAATATTTGCTAATGAAGTAGTCTTTAAAAATTTGTCTTAAGGTTTTTACTTGTTTTAAAGTGTAATTTAATGCTTTCTTACAGTTGCTGTTATAATGTTTAGATTTTTATCTGAAATATCTTTATCATGTGCGTTCCAAATGTAATGGTGAATTCAGGGTGTTGGTTTCTGACCAGTCATCTATCAGTATTATCATTTTATTCAGTGGCTGGCAGGGACATCAGACCAACTGAGAGCAGAACTTCCCTGTGACTGTGCTCCATGACATGCAGGGGACTCTGTGGACCCTGGTAGAAAAAAAGGAGAGAGACCAAGGAGCCAGTGACTTCCTGAGACAGCGAGTGGGGCAGGAGGGGGAGGGTGTGGCCTGTACCCACTTCCACACTGGACAGAATGTCCCTCGGGACACCTGGCTGCTCCTCGGCTGAGAGCTTGGCCTTGCTGTCAGTCAGGCTCAGGCTGCAGCTGAGGTGGCCGCTTTCTAGATCTGACCAAGCTGCGGTCCTGGCAGACAGCTCTGCTTAGTGCTGGGTGGTTCTGGTTTTACATCCTGGCTTCAGTGACACCATCCCCAGGGGGCAAAATCTTTTTTAAAAAACATGTAGAAAATACAGCATAAAAATGAACTGTGGTGGATGACATTTTGATACCAAATTCAAAATATTTAAAGTAGCTGCCAGAATACAGTACCTATTGACCTCTGGTTTTGTAATTACTGTACAGCAGATTTCAGGAGTGTTTGAATATTTATCATAATCAGGCCCTTTTCCTCAGTAAATCGAGATAAGGATCATTTGAAGGAATTATGCATGAAAAAGTTTGAAAATGTCTTTGTGATTTGCTGTATTAAAGACCAAAATATAATTTTCAAACATTCTTATCTAAACATTGTATAATGCAATATACTCAACTTTCTTAATTTTTTGCTAATTTTTCTAAGATATATTAAAATATTTTGTGTATTTTTTTTTTTAGTAACTGGACCCAGTAAGAAAATTAAAAACATCAGGACGTCATACACTTTAAACTGTTGGCTTAATAAACAGTGGGGCGAAGCAGTGTGTGTGTGTGTGTGTGTGTGTGTGTATGTGCGCGTGTGCATGTGCGTGCGTGCGGGCATGTGCGCAGGCGCCCATGCTCACTCTCTGATGGCCGAGCTGGACAGGCACCGGGACCCTCCCCGACAACGTGGGGCTCAGGGGTAGACCCCACACAGTGAGCGCTGGCTCGGGTTTGATGTCTGAGTCACCGGTGTGGGGAAGCCACCGCTGACCCGACAGCTCACAGACAGGAACTTCTCAAGAGGCTGGCTCCTCATTGTTGCTGTCCCCTCCAAATCCCGCCTGTTTTCCTGAGTGTTCCTTTGTTTTCTTCTTCCAGAGTAAACAATGGGCCTCTTTTGGTTTGCCTGACTGCGCCGGGGCCTTGGGGTGAGGGGTCTTGGGGTGAGGCCTGGCTGCCTCTGCTCAGAGGGAGGTTCTAAAAACTGTCCCTTACCTAGTGCTTGGGTGCTTGGCTGGGGGTGCGGGAGGGCTGTGTTGCCCTCCAGGGAACATTTGGCAATGTCCGGAATTTTTGTTTCTCCAAAGGGGAGGAGTGGCAGCCCCGGCTGGAGGCCTGAGAAGCTGAAGCATTCCTGGCCTGTGGTGGTTAGCGGTGGGGTGAAGCCAGCCTGCTGTGGCTCCCAGCAGCCCCTAGCTGTTGGGGTTGGGGTTGGGTTCGGGAGAAGCGTGGAAGCAGCCCTCCGATTCTCCTGGGGAAGAGTTCCTGAGCAGGCCGTGGAGTCTGCAGAGGCCTGAACATGTCCAAAGAGCGTGCTGGAGGCTTCGCCCCAGTGCTGGTGTTGGCCGGGGACCCGGCCCAGCTCTGCACCTGTGCCCACAGGAGGGCACTGTGAGTGGATCCCTGTCCCCTAGGAGTGAGGTCGGCTCTGGAATCTGCCTGGGAAGGGGCAGCAGGGAGCCCTTGCTCCGCCCCCCAGGCAGGGTGCTGAGGGGGAAATCTCCGAGCCGGCAGAAGCTCAGGGCTGCAGGAGCGCTGTCACTGCGCTGCCTGCGGACCCCGGGTTTTTGTTTTTCCTCTTTTGGTGCAGGGTCTCACTATGCAGCTTGGATTCATAGTGATCCTCCTGATTTCTGCCTCCCTAGTGCTGGGATTACAGGCGTTCGCTGCCACGCTCGGACTCCATCGCTGGCTGAGCGCACCCGGGGGCAGGGCTGGTGCGGCATGGGGTGCCAGGATCGAACCGTGGGCCCTGTGCTAACCTAAGCAAGCACTTAGTCCGCTGAGCTATAACGCAGGCCCTTGAGATTTTTGTTCTGGGGCTTTCTTGGAGCGTAGCTCAGGCTGGCTTCAAACTCGGGACCCTCCTGCCTCTTCCAGGTAGAAAGGCTGTGGTGCTTCCTCAGCACCAATCCGCCAATAGTTGATTTGGCTACTTCCCAAGTCGTTGTGCGGCCAGACTGTGAGGCGTGAAGTGGAGGAGCCACCTCGGGAAACCGGGTGCGTCTGGCCACGCCCGGCAGAGCCACCTGCCAGCAGGAGGAGAGCGAGAGCGCAGGTACAGCGCATTGGCCACCCAGCCCCAGGGCGCCCGGCCTGTTCCGACCTGCACACCGCCGAGGGGTTGCAGGGCTGGGCGGCGGGCAGCTGCCCAAGTGGGCCAAGGGTCAGGAACGGCACCTAAGGGCTGGGTGGCAGCATGTTCTCCAGGTTTATTGAGAATATCCGTCTTTAGGTTTATGGGAATAGTTTAAGGAATATCTCCTTATTTTCTCCTCCATTTAAAAAAGAAATAACTTGGGAATGTAAAAATCACCCGTCAACTTTGAGTCTGTTCAGCACTGTCTACTAACACTAAAGACCAGCAGCCCCCTCCGTGACCCAGCAGCGCACACAAGAGAAACCGAGGCCCAACCTCTCCGGAGGATGGTGCGAGAAAGTTCACGCAGTGCTGCCTTCGCCAGGCCCCGAACCGGAAATGACCCAGATGGCCACCAGCAAGGCAGGGATGAGGAACTGTGGCGCATTCCAGTATTCGGGAGAGGTGAGCTGCAGGGATAGAGGCACAGACACCCCAGCCGGAAGGAGCCAAACGGAGAGCACAAACTCCAGGATTCCACTTGTTACCTTCCGGAACTCGAAACGCTGCCTTGTGGACTTAGAAGTGGGAAGGTGCAGGTTGGCTGGGCAGGGCACAAGTGAACTTCGGGGACTCCAGGCTGGGTGCATCTGTCAAAGCCCAGCTTCCCAGGGTGATACTGGAGATGAGCGCTGGAGCCTTTCACTCCAAAGAGGGAGGGCCAAGCGCGCAGGATCCACACTGCGATGCCTGACCCTGTCTCGGGCACTGTTTGTTCCTCCCCCACCACTGCCTCGGCCGGCGGGCATCTCCTTTCTGTATGTCCACCTCACCAGGAGCTATCCTGTCCAAGCCTCACCCCGTGTGGGAAGGCCAGGCCTCCAGGCCTGCATTCCAGTCCTGCTGACCCTCTGATGTTAAGGAGCCTTGGCCCTGCTGGTGGCTGCATTTATAGTGGACCTGAAATTCCAGCCCTGGGCTTAACTCTGCCTCCTCCAGTTTCCATCCCATGGGGTGCAGCGCCTAGCTTCAGGGCTGGGCACCCCAGGAATGCAGGCCACAGATGCAGGCAGGAGTCAGCTGTCTAAGCCTCTGCATGCAGCCGCCATAGTCTCCCTCTTTCCTGCTTGTCTCTTTCCTCTGTCTTGGGCAGGAGTGTCCTGGGCCACTCACCCTGGGGACACTGTCCATCTTGGGCCAGACTGGGGATGCCAGGACTCACCTGTCCTCCACTGAAACCACAGTTACTGTCCCAGGCTGCCCAAAGGGCTCTCTGCCTGAAGGCCTTGTTTGCAGGAGCACACAGGTTGCCCAAGAAGGGTGGCGAGGTGGATGGTGACCCCGGGAGCCCTGTGACCCTGCAGTCCTGTGTGGTTAGCAGGAAGGAGGTGTCATGGCATGTGTCAGGATGTCCCCCAAAGCCTATGCGGTCAGTTGGGGTGGGATTTTTGGAGCCAGCTATATCTAGAGTTTGTGATTGGCTCGTTGTCTGTTGCTGGGATTAGTGGTGGGGAGCCTGTGTACAGTATAAGGGAATGAGGCTCACTCCCTCTTTGGCTCTTGCTGCTTCTGCCACCCTGATGCCATGAGCAGCTGCTCTTCAGCCAAGCCATCCTGACTTGAAGCCAGCTGCTTATAGACTG